TAGTTTAGCGAGTCCTGCTGTAGGAACAGAAAGTGCGGCTCTATCAGGGTGAGTGCAGGAGTTTACCGTTGGTCAGATCGCTGGCCTCGTGGTTCAGGACGGTGATGTTGGAGCCGGTCGATCCTGGTCTTGATCCGCTGCAGGGAGTGAGAGGTCTGGCGCTGTCTGGACGGCTTCTCAGATCTCCAGGCCGAGCTGAAGCAGGTCTGACGCCGCTCTTAAACACATGGAGTGCTGCTGAGACAGTCTCCAGAAGCTGCTGTTTGTCTTTACCTGTGTCTGCATCTGTGAGCTCCAGGCCGTCACTGACTGAAGCGTCTCTGATGGATTCTCTGAGAAGAGTCCAGTCCTGCAGTGAAGCTCTGCAGCGTTGAGGTTTGTCCTCTTCAACAGGAGCGTCATCGAGGAAGATCAGCTGAGGGATCAGCTCACGCACCGCAGACCTGTAGCTGTAGCCCGAGACCTGCAGCACAAACCACATGCGAGGAATCTGTCTGAGTATGATTGTATTTTGCAAACCAAATTTATCATTAAAGAAGAAAAACAGAAGAAAGATGGTGATGCTTGAAGTACCTCAGAGGCTCCTGGAGCGGGGCAGGTGCACACAGGGTTTCCTTCCAGTGAAAGTGTCCTGAGCTTCACACAACGGCCCAAATACCACAACTGAGCCTGATCTTCAACCTCGTTCTCCTCCAGATCCAGCAGCTCCAGATCCTCCAGCAAACTGACTGGACTCAGGTCTGAGACGCTGTTGAACGCCGCATACAGCTCCTGAAAAAAACACCAGCATTTAGGACTCGTTCACTTTATTTAGTGACTTTAAAATACAAACATACTGTAGTTCATGATAAGTAATAGTGTGATCTGTTTGATTTTAAAATACTTTGACATTAGAAAAACAAGTGTTTCATCAGTTCAGTCTCTGCAAGCCTTTGCTTCTAAATCTTGTTGGATACCTTTAAGGAGGAAAGAGCAGAAATCCCCTCCAGGTCAGTCAGACCACATCGAGCCAGACATAAGACCTGCAGGAGGGAGAAGCCGGTTCCCAGATCCCTGAGGAAATACTGAGAATAATAAGCCTTTATCTGATTCACTTCCTCTCTCTATATTATTATATTTCAATGCATGTTTATCTTCAGTGAAATTTATGGGTTCTGTATTCTTTCATAAATTCTATTTGTTCTTAGTTTTTGAGGATGAGGCCTGAAACACAAGCTGTCC